CTTGATGATGACGTCCAGGGATATCACAAGATATGAACAATTGGACAGTGTCAAGGTGATACATAATAAGTATTCCACAACAGTTCCCAAACTTATCAGCTTTTGACCCACAAAATAACAGTAACAGAGACCTGTGCCCCCAACTGTTTCTGGATGATAAACATTTTTATCAGGTCAACTAAACATGGGCATAGTAACAATATTTTTTATATTACATTTATCCATTTTAAATATTCTAACCTCACTCATTTGTAACAACTAAGGTAAAAATGTAATTAATTCAGAAAAAACTTTTCAGGACCCCACCTTGACGTTTCGGGACCCCACTTTGGGTCCCGACCTCAACTTTGGGAAACACTGCTCTAGAGACTGTTATTCAGAAAAGTGACTAGTGAAAATCTGTCGACTCTTTTTCTGGTGTTATTGAGACTTTGAGAGACTCTGCCGTGAACAKATTTCTCCATCGTGCTGCTGAGAGCTCCTCCTCCCCGGTCCCAGAGCACCGACAGGAGGCTTCTTCACTCTGCGTCTCTCCCTGCTGCAGGTAGATATCCATCCCATCCAGACATGAAATGAATACTGCTGCTGCTGACTGATCCATGATGGGATGTTAATAAAAACATTTCTATGGTTAAAATAGATCCRTTTGCCGGTCCCTAGCCAATAGAAAGGAGGGTTAGAGCTGTGACAGTAAAAAAAGGAGCAACAGAAGAAACTTTAGTTTTTGTTCTCTTGACATAGCCTACTACTGTCTCTAAAGTGAAGGCTGGCTGCCACGACACAGTCACCAATGTTTTTTATTTTACCCTATTAAAACTCTACTTCCTACCAGCTGGTCAAAGAATCAAACGTCCAATGTGACACAAAAAGGATGATTCATATATTGAGTTGAATGTAGAATCTGTCTCTAAAATAGTTAGGAAAGTGTTTATTTATGTAGTTTAAAATATGTTGAACAACATGCAAATACACCAGAATGCAGGAAACAGCACCTACTTCATTCAAACTTTTCTGGGGGAGAACACCCCCTCCCGCATTGGGGTTATGATGGCAACTAGTAGCAGCAAAGATAAATATAATAGAACTTATGTGAAAGAAATAATAACTGTAACATCAAAAAGAAAAGGTGGGACTGAGAAGGTGAGGAGTATAAGCAACATTTACATTTAATAAACACCCAGAAGCTATTTTTAAAGAAAAAAAAAAGATTTTGGAGGCTTGCAGATTAAATTTGCCTAGTATGCACTCAATTTATTTCTTGACTAATCAAAAGTACAATAAACTACAATGATTWGTTCTTTTCCTGATTTCATTTTAACTTTGCCTATAATTTACATTTTATTCTAGTCATTTTATCTAACATTTCATTTTATATGCAGTATTTCCCCAGACTCCACGTTTTATTCTTGTTTACAATAAAGCTTTTGTAGAAAAAAAAAACAGACAGCCAACAGTGCTTTTTAACTTTATTATAAACAAAAGAATTTGCAGTTTGTTGAATACAGAGCACACTGTGAGCTGAGCAGGATGTATTTGTAAATTTGAGCCTCTCCAGAATGTAATTTGGGTGTGTACGACAATTTTCCTCAAAATACGATAATTTTGAGCTGCTGATACGATAATTCAACATTTCCCATCTGGCAACACTGCTGCTGCGGTGTTGCTTTGACCCTGCAGCGGCCAGTCCGGAAGGACCAGGTAAATGAGTTTTCTTGTTTCCAACCTCGACCTTGTATGTTTTTAAGTGCAGATTTCCGTCTTACAACAACAGCAGCAGCAAGACGACTTTTGAGATGAACAGAAAGTTGTCAGCTAAGTAGCTAATTTAGAGAAGCTACTGTTAGCTTAGCTACTACGGCAGCCCTCAAGGTTGCGCTAAACCTGTACTCTCTCCTGCTACCTGTGTTTATTTGCGTTCATAACACGGTTTTCCTGTGTCTAGTTTAAAGGTTGTTGTTCTTTTTATGTTGTAGTTGGGACCGAGGACTCCTTGGCCAGTATGGCTCTGAAACTAATTCAGAGTTTACCGCATGGCCAGTTCAGGGCTCGTTGTGATGCATCAGTTTGTCCCATCAGAAGACACCTCACCACCAGCAGTCACTCCTCCTCGTGTGTAGCCTGCCTCTGTACTTCAGACAGACATTGTATCCAGCGACACGGCTGCAGGAAGCTCCAGCAGGAGTACAGAGCGAGCCTGAGCACCGTCGTCAGGGAGCCCTCCGTCTTCCCCAGCAGTTCTATAGGACTGCATGGAGACTCTGTGCCCCAGTTCCGTTTGACCCAGCTGCATCAGCTGCTGATGTGCAGGTTTTCCAGCAGAGCCTGCTGGCCTGCTCCTCCTCCCAGCAGGTCTTCAAACTCCTGCGCTCAGTCGAGATCATGTCAGACACCATGGCTGCAGCAGCTCTTCATCATGTGGCCGACACGGAGCAGGAGGGCACAGCTCTGAGAGACCCAACCGTGCTCGAAAGCGACACTATCCGGGCCTTGTGCTTCCAGTTGGAGCAGGACTCGGAGCGGCTCACTGAATCTGGGTTGATGTCCGCTCTCCTGGCCTGCACACGCCTCTTCTTGGATCCCGGGAGCACACTGATGGTGCGGCTGGTGTCTGAGAGTCAGGCCAGGTTGGACGGGGGACAGATGACCGTAGAGCAGCTGTGCACCTTGGGCCGGGCGATGCTGGCCATCGAGGGTCCGGGCTCTGTGACATTAGAGCAGGCGATAAAGCAGATTCAGAAGCAGGAACCTGCCCAGTGGAGTCTCACAGACCTTGTAGCTGTCTACAAGCTCTTGCAAGACTGTGAAGGTGGAAAATATAGAGACTTGCTGAATGCCATGCACATCCACGCTGTAACAGTCACCTCCCTAATGGATCCCTCTGCCGTTGCCCAGGTACTAAGTGCTCTTGTTACCCTTAATCAGATTCAAGCCATGCCTCTTGTAATCAGTTTGTGTAAGCAAGCCGGTCGGCACGTGCCTCACTTCACTGACGAGGAGCTCACCCATGTCCTGAGCGCGCTGATCCATTTTGGCCACAGCGATTGTTATTTTGTGGAAGCGATGGAGAAGCACGTGCCCACGATGGCCTTCGTCTCTCATCCAGAGACGGTGTCCAGGGCGGTGCAGTTCTTTGGCCACAGAAACATCCTGTCCCCCGCTGTCTTCGACGCTGTCGCCGAGAGCTTTGTGTACAGAGCCGATCACTACAGCACCAGCCAAATAGCCAGGCAGATTGTGACTTTTGGGAAGCTGGGTTACCTCCCGCCCAATGCAGGCCAGTTTTTCAGTAAAGTAGAAGCCATCCTGTACACTCGCTTTTCACAATTCCAGCCCCAAACCCTTGTCCGCTTGCTGCACGCCTGCGCCCTAGTGCAGAGGTTCCCTGTCAACTTCATCTCCAAAGTTTTTAGCAGTCATTTCCTTCAGCAGATTCAAGGTAAAACACTTTCTGACACAGCGTGTACAACTTTATGAAGGCACGCTGAAGAAAAAAAGTGTTGATTTTTGTGCTGCAGGTCAGGACGCAGAAATTGATCGGGCTGTTCTGGCACAGTTAACTCAGCTCTATATGTCGGTGAAGTTGGAATGTCCCTTCTATAAGGTAAGGAATTTGAAGAACCATGTCAGAAACCAGAATATACACCTTGCAGTTAAACGTGTCCTCTGTGCGGGAAGTTCCTTTTGACTTGTTCGATGCACTTCTTATCATCGTGCATTTCTGCATTTTTAATAATTATTTCTGGGTTTTACAAACAATATAGCTGGATTTTATTATATGGAATCAGACATTTTAGTTTTATACTTTTAACTCCCCTTGGTAGATATAACGACGGCTTTTAAACTATTTTAAATAAGTGTTTCACCCAATATTGTCCCCTCTGCAGCATAGAACAACATAAAAAGAAACAAAGGAGGAAGCTTTTAGGTATTTACAATCTTGAAAAAAAGTTAAGACAATTAAATAAATTATTTTACAAAAATCACGAAAGTTAAAATGCTGTTAATATTTATAATTTTGTTTAAGGACTTTTATGCAGTAATTTGTCAAATACAACTCTTAGCAAAAAGTATGGAATCACCAGTCTTMGATGAGCACTCATTCAGTTATTTCATTCTGTAAAACAAACTCAAATCAAAAACATGATACAATAATAAGGTCATTCTAAAGTGCAACTTGTTGGCTTTCAGGAACACTCAAAGAAATGAAGAGAAAACATTGTGCAAGTCAGTGAATGTTACTTTTATTGAACAAGCACAGGGAAAAATATGGAATCGCTCAATTCTGAGGAAAAAAGTATGGAATCACTCAAATTGGAGGTAGAAAATAAGYACACATCCAGTCAGTTTCCTTTCCCTAAATGGACACCTGCCTCAGATTGGATCTGTTCGTTAGTCTGCAGTTAAAAACACCTGCAGTCATGACACCTTGGAGGGCTGCAGGACGAAGTGGAGTGTCAAGAACCATGGCTCCAACAAGAGAAATGTCTCTTGAAACAAAAGAGAGGATTGTGAAACTTCTTGAAGAAGGTAACTCTTCACTCATGGTTGCTAAAGATGTGGGTTGTTCACAGTCAGCTGGATCCAAGATATGGACCAAATACAAACATGGAATGGTTGTTAAAGCCAAGAGTACTGGTAGACCAAGAAAGACATCAAAGCATCAAGACAAACAACTTAAGGCCATTTGTCTTGAAAAGTGAAAAAGTACAACTAAACAGATGAAGCATAAATGGGAGGAAGCTGGAGCCAATGRATGTGACCGAACCYTAAGAAATGGCCTAAAGGAAATGGGATTTCAACACAGGAAAGCTAAAAGAAAACCATCATTGACACCTAAACAAAAAGGAACAAGACTGCAATGGGCTAAGGGGAGGCTATCATGGACTGTGGATGACTGGATGAAAGTTATCTTCAGTGATGAGTCAAGAATCTGCATTGGACAAGGTGATGATGCTGGAACTTTTGTTTGGTGCDGTTCCAGTGAGATTTATGAAGAGGACTGCCTGAAGAAAACAACCAAATTTCCACAGTCCTTGATGATATGGGGCTGCATGTCAGGCAAAGGCACTGGGGAGATGCTGTGGATAATTCTTCTATCAATGCACAAGTTTACATTGACATTTTGGACAGTTTTCTCATCCCTTCAATTGAACAGATGTTTGGAGGTGATGAAATAATTTTCCAAGATGACAATGCACTGTGCCATAGGGCAAAAACAATGAAGGCATTCCTTGGAGAAAGACACATTCAGTCGATGTCAGGGCCTGCAAATAGTCCACATCTCAACCCAATTGAAAACCTGTGGTGGAAATTGAAAAAAAAAAAAAGGTCCACAAGAAGGCTCCGACCTACAAAGCTGATCTGGTTACTGCTATTAAAGAGAGTTGGCGCCAAATTGATGAAGAGTACTGTTTTTCACTCATCAAGTCCATGCCTCAGAGACTGCAAGKCATTATAAAAGCCAAAAGTGGTGCAACTAAATACTAGTGATGTATTTTGAATGGTCTTTTGTTTATCTGTTTTTCATGATTCCATACTTCTTTCCTCAGAATTGAGGGATTCTGTATTTTTTTCCCTGTGTTTTGTCAATAAAAGTAGCATTCACTGACGTCCACAATGTTTTCTTCATTTCTTTGAGTGTTCCTGAAAGCGAACAAATTGCACTTTGGAATGACCTTTTTATTATCTCATGTTTTCGATCCGAGTTTGTTTTACAGAATGAAATGACTGAATGAGTGCTCATCCAAGACTGGTGATTCCATACTTTTTGCCAGGGGTTGTAAGTCTCAAATTATAGCAACAATACCATGTATTTAATGTAAAGTTCAGATTTTTCAAAGTGAATTCAAAAAGGTAGTTGTGTCCTAAATGCCTGGGTCAGCTTTACTGTCAAAAATGAACCAAATTTTACTGATAAAAGCTTGACTGAAACAAATCTCTACTTTATCAAAATTGTACTTTGTGTAATTTAAATATGTTTTTTTTATTTCTTCTATTTGTCCCTTCGGTCAGGGTGACAGGCTTCTTCCAATGTATTGCGTCAAATCTTTCCTCGTGTCCGGTTGCTCTCTGGAGATGCCGGTCGAGCCACAACTGTACAACTCGGTGAAAACAGGACTGGTGGATTTACTCGGGAATCGTTCATACTTTGGATCCAAAGTTCTGACACCATACTGCTATACAATAGGTATTGTGTTTTGTTTTTTTTGAGCTTATCTACCTAAAAGTCATTTATGTTGTAACATGTTGTCGTAGATGTGGAGATAAAACTTGACGAAAAGGGATTCGTGCTGCCTGCCAATCAAACTGATGATGTGTACAAAAGGTAAATTACTTCACGCGGTACACAGGAATGATTCAGGAAGTGAGCAAGGGTTTGTAAGAGCTGCATGATTAATGGCTGATCTTTGTTGCAGGATAGCGCTTTGTATTGACGGAGAAGAGAGGTTCACTACAAACGTCAAGCAGCTTCTTGGGAAAGAAGCTATCAAACAGCGACATCTGCGCCTGCTGGGATATGAAGTTGTGCAGGTTAGACTCTTAAAATCAAACATCTTAACTAAGGTTTAATCTGTTGATAGTGGTTCCCAACCTGCGGGGGCACATAATGTCTGCTCAGAGGTTGTGAAAATATCAATTTATTGGGCCTCATGCAAGAACATGTTCGTATTCTTATCCTAAATTTCTCTTACTTTTGTTCGTACGAAGGGTTTGTACGAACATGTCACGTCAGATCCAACATATTCTTCTATCTTCAGGAAAAGTGTGTAAATGAGCTGCGTAAACTGATGAATGTGTATCAGGTGCTCGTGCACGAGGAGAGGTGATGAGCATAATTACCACCCCAAAAACACCATATAAGGCTATGTTTCCTGCCTCACATACCAGGAAGTGTCCATTCATAAATGACATGGCAAAGTAAAAAAAAAAACAAAAAAACTTTACGAGTTCGGAGATTGAAGTTCTGGTCCCGGAGATCCAGAAAAAAGAAATGTCATTTTTAGCAGCTTCAGTTGTAGAATTAAAGGAGCTGCTTTAAAGCCGAGGAATGAAATGACGACTGCTGTTAAATGTCGAGTCTCCTGTCACAGAAATAAAAATCTAAATCTTATTTATCTCTCTCTGTAGTCCTGCTCCGGTTTTTCTTTGGTCAAATATTTTTAATTTAAGTGTAATTTATGTTGTTAGTTACATTTAAAATCTAATTCCAATTCAAACAGAATAACCTATTATCAACACAATTATAGAGTGTGATTTATTTTCAACTCAAAATATCTTCAAACTAACGAATATAAAAGTTATTAGTGAAGAAAATCCATCTGGATAACAGCAGACTGACTGCTCGTAAAATATACAACAGGTCTGGACCACTCGTGAATTTTGTTCATATCTGAAAAAAATCTTACGATAAAATTGGTGAATGCCACAAATTCTCCTAAATCACTCGTACGCACAACTTAACCAATCTGTGCGTACGAACGGTTCTTGCATGAGGCKCAATGTTTGTATATTAAATAATCCCCCAAACAAGTTCACTTGAATAATTAAAACTCTGCATATGCCATTCTAGACTTGATTTTTTCTTTTATTATTTTGGTAGAGATTAAGGTTGAACATGTCTTTGGGAAAGGTGGGGAGTAGTGAGAGATCGAGTGGGCTTGGCTTGGAAGTAAGAAGAGGGCATTTTTAGGAAAATAAGTTGGGAACCACTGCCATAGATGGATTAATCTTGGAACTATTTCGGTACTTTGTGTTTTCATCCCATCAATCATTTTTAAAGACTTGTTTTTTTGTTTTTTTTTCTCATAGATTCCTTATCATGAATTTGAAGAACTGCACAAGTCCAATGTGAAAAAGTATCTTCACCAAAAGATCTTCCCTCACACATACAGCCTGAGTTGATGAGAAAATTATGTTGTGAGGTTCAGGGCTTGTTTTTTAAAGCAAATACATATTTATTATTTTTCCAAACACTCACTGATAAAAATTGTTGATTTTGAACTGTGACATGTTTGACTCAATAAAGTAGCCTTTTCCACAAGTATGGATCTTTTGAAGGACTCCATTATCACAGTGATGTATTGTTTGAAAAATAATTTATTTTGTTTATCATTTCAGAAACTGTACAAAGTTAAGAACCCCATTTCCAATCATTGTTCAAGCTGAGATAAGTTCAGAGAAAGAAAAATAAGCACGACCTTTAATAACTAGGGAGGCCTGATTTTACAATTTATCACTTGTTGGACAGATGATGCTTTGGTTTTCATTGCTGCACTTAAAGGCCAGGAGTGTCAGTTGCACCAATACAAAAAAAGGGCTATGATACATGTAAAACTAACCGAATAAATGTTAAAAATGATCTTTACGAAGCAGGAATCTGAGGAAGACCGAACTCATCCACCAGGACACCATCCTGAAACAAATATTAATTTAAATAAATAATCAGAACATTGACAATAGACTGATTTGTAGTGATGGGTAAATGAAGTTTTTCTGAAACCGATTACAGAATTAAAGCTTTCCAAGTCATTTGGCGCCATCTGGTGGCCAAAAGCACATTTAGCAGCTTGAACTCAATGAAAAGAGTTGATTGTTGTTGGCTGTTTGACAGAGTTTGTCTTTAATATGAGACATTTCTGTCATGAAGATAGCTGCTTTGAATGTGGATTGTATTGTGGTTGAAAGAATAAAATAGTTTATTTCATGAATAAATAATTTTGATGAATAAACTTGTTGCCACTTTTATGACTTTTTGACCTTTGTAAACAGAACTGATTTTTTAATAAATATAGTTTAAACAAGCCAGTTTGGAATGACARTTAAGAGTTCCTTGCCTCCATGAATTTATGTAATGAAGCAGCGTATGTTTACTGAGATCATATTGTAACTTAAACAGTGCTTCTTTGTTTTTGTTTGTTTTGTTTTTTTCTTGGGTAAAAGTGCTTATGAATTTGTAAACACACGAGGCTGGCTTGTTCCATGTCTCGCTAAATGTCACTCGCTGGTTTGTTATGTTTTAGGGAAATTAACCACCCAAACACCACAAATCCTGCCAATTATCACTRTTTCATAAACCTGAGTCAYGTACCAATATGGTGCTGTAACTGCAGCACTTTTGGAGCTTCAGATGTTATTGATCACAACTTTTGCCAAACAAATCTGGCTCCAGCTTCAAACGACCCATCACTACTGATTAGAAAAGTTTGAAGTGTGCTATGTATACCCTGTTGGTTGATCTGTCACCAGGCACGCCCTCTGGGATGGAAGGAGCAGTCGCAGCCTCATCCAGGTAGGAGCTGTCATCATCCATGAGGAGCTCGTCTCCAAGAGCATCCAGCTCTGAGGACGTAACAGAAGGAGAAATGACCAGCAGATTACATCAGATCTCAGCTAAAATAATTTGAAAAAGCATTTGTTTCTCCGCCCAATTTAGATAAAGTCCTTTAACATTCATATAAAAAGGAATTCTGTACCAGTGCAATGGTTTGAATTCAAGTACACAAATAAATGTGATCAAGATCATGTTAAAATCAAAGTGTGAACACGTTTATTCACCTGCTTCCAGGTCGTCGTCATCAATTTCTGGAGTGCCGTAGCTCCTGCTAAGAGCCTCTTGAATCTCATTGGCATCTTCCATCATGTCCTCCAACTGATCTTGGATATCCTGAGGGATTTAGATTAAAACATTTAATGTAGGCTCTCAACTCATGGTTGTGTACGGGTCCAAACTGATTATTTTTTCCCCTATTAGAAAAGTTCAAATTAACTGCTATTAAAGTAAAACTGTGCAAAAACAAAAAGCAAATGAAAACGTACCTCAATCTTATCGATTTTCACATTCTTGTATGCTTTCTTCATGTCTTTGAGGCCGACTTTCATGGCGTCAACCTACAAACAAAAACAAATCAATCAAACTGTTTGTCYGCTGTGTGATCCATCGTGCCACATCTCTTACTGTGGTTTTAGTGTCTTTGAGGTTTTGGATCGTATAGTTTGCTTGTTCCATGTTGAACGACTGCTGCATGAGGTTATCTCTCTGACCCTCATACCTGGGAAGTTCATGGAAAAAAAAGGTTTTATAGGAGAAAGTAGAGAATCAAGTAACTCAGGGAAGAGTAGAGGTCATTGGATGGATTTGATAGATTAAACAAATCAAAGTTTGGGATATAAAACCACTTACATTCTCTTCTGCTTCAGAACTCTCATTGCTTTTTGCTTCACCATGTTCTAGAGAATAAAAGAGTTGCACAACTGATTTACGTCACATTATTTTTGCGCTACATTTTTTTTTAGTTTGCATTTTATAAACAAAAACGAATGGCTGCTCATATAAAACGTCATTTTAAAGTTACAACCTATATCTACAAGCAAGTTTGTTGACATTATAGATGCAATAAAGCCTGGTTCTGTTTGACGTTCTGAGAACAACTCCATCAGCGCTGCTGTCTCACAGAGCTTTTCTTCAGTTAACAACACAAATACCACACCTTCCTTGTCCAACATAAACTAAAAACAAAAAGTAACTTTCTGTTCTTTAGTTGTGTGGCTGTGTTGTTTTTGTTTGCGTGACGTCTGTAAAACAGACACAATTACATCACCAAGATCAGCGTTCTTACGTCTGGTACAGGAGCCATGGGCCTCAGGTTATACCAGTACACATTCAATAGGTGTGGGTGTGAGTCATGGATTTACGCAAGTACATTTACTTGTTTTAAATAAATAAATAAATAAATAAATGTTGTAACATCTCAGAAGTGATCTCACCTTTGAAGGCCCATCTCGCATCTTTTTCATCTGATCTTTGTATTTGACAAGTTCAGCATCAAGTCTGGCAATTTTCTTATCAATGGACTCCGCCCGAGAATCAACCTACAAACAAAAAGAACAAGGCATTAAGATTAAGAAAATGTTTTGAACATGAAAGACAGTCATGTACATGTTAAAACCCAGTCTTCATGCCAGTATTACTGGGCTAAACATGCTCAGATTGACTGGTTTAGTCTTCTTCCTCTCGTCGGTTAAAACTAGCTCTGCGCAAACACAACCAACCAGAACAACTGGTTTTTTTTGTCCACTCGTTCCCACAAAGTAAGACGTTTTATTCTTATTTAATGGTCAAAACGCAGGAATTGTTGTCGAATTATGTWATGATGAGTCATTACCCGAACACAACAAGGGGACGTTTTGTGTTAAATCTTGTTTTTCGACTAACATCGAATATATAACATTATAAAAAAATCTTCCCGCATCAAATTAACTACATAGTTTCTTAACTAAAACAAGATAAAGATAAAACAGTTTATTAATCTAGACTTAAATGTGTCGGGCTGTGTTCAGTTTCCTTTAGTGAAGTTGGCTAACAGTTAGCAAAGAAATATCGGGGGGGAAAAGTTGTGTCAGGATAAAACTTACGTTTCCTATGCAGTCCGACAGGTTCGGTGGCGGACCTTTGGATTTACCTTTGCCGAAAATACGATTCATCTCGGTGAAACTAAGGTTTACAATGTCAAACAACAGTTTGTTGACTGTCACAGTCCGCCGTACAGCTGAAGGCAGGAAACACCCGGAAAAGCCTGGAATGACGTCAGAGCAGTCACGTGATCAACACTCAAGCTGCGCCCGTAATTTTTTCCTTTAAAAACGTTTTTTTCTTTTGTTTAAAATTTAAAATTACTTTTATTTCATCATCTAACTATTTATTGACCATATAATTTATAACTGTAAACGCTTTCAATGCTGCCATTTGTGTAATTGTTGTAATATTTCTTTCAGGTGCTTCCAGAACCTCTTATACTGAAAATAAAACCTAAAAAAAAAATAAAAAATAAAACAGCTGATCTTGACATAATTCTTTTTATTTATTTATTTTTTGTTCTTTACTTTTGTATACCGTTCTGCTTTCAAACATAATTTTGGCAACAAGTGCATTGTGCAGCTGCAACTGTTTGCCTTAAATATATTATTTATATTTATACATTTGTGGTTATTCAAGCTGCTGTCACATGATGCATATAAAAGCTATTCCAAGCTAATTTGACAATTTCAAATATCACAATGAAAACGAAAGGCTAAGAAACAAGGTGATGTWAAACTTGCCTCTCCTTATGTTTTAGTGATTAAAATTCAACATTATAAAAATGAAACAGGACAATTGTACAAAGAAGGAATAGGCCTACTATTTTGTTAGGATTCATGAAGGTTTAAACCATCAGCTTTTCATCTCTTTGGCCACTATTTGACAGAAAAAAAAAACTCGGTTGAAAATGTATTGCACATGCTGTTTAGTAGTGGAGGCTTGAGATAATCACTTTTTAATGTACTGACAGTTGGTAATAAACATGAATAGCATTTAAAAATTTCACTATCGAAGATTATAAACATTTATTGTAGCATATTTTGCTCATTACAGCCTCCATCCTCTTGGTGGAGCAGCTGGCTTGTAGTAGATCTCCCCCTCTAAAATAAGCCACTATGAATGACATGCTTCTGGGTTCAAAATGACATAATATGTAGAAGAAAAAAAAACATCAGAAACATGTATCTCAAGAGATTCCAAACTGTATTAAAACAGTGTGTGTTTTCAAATGAAATCTGACAAGTGTGGATTAAGTGTGGATTTATTAAACTTGCTAAGGTATTAAGAAATTCACAGACAGGATCAATACACGTCCTAAATGAATGGCAGCAGACAACATTTAATAGATTTAAATTGAGAGCACAGATAGAAATAAAACAATGCATGAGTCACAGTTAGAATAATGTCCKTTTTTTAAATGCTATAAAAGCTCAGTTTTGCTCTGTCATCATTAACATGTAGCTACCAGAGATTAAAGAACAAAATWGTTACTTTTTAAAAGCAAAAMCTGCACTAAAACATTTCCAAATGAGACGGGTGAATATGTGTACGTTTGACATAGATSCACATTCAGTACATAAAGCATGTTTAACTCCTGATGTTGTCTTAAAATTCACAATGATTTATACATGCTACAGGTACAGTTGTATTTCAAATATGTTAGTACAAGGAGATAGTTTTCCCATATTCTTCACAAAATAAAGTTTTTCAAGCACTTATTGTACAGATGTTATATYCAATAAATGAATAACTTGTTTGAACAATTGATATGATCAGATAAAGCAATAACAGCATAAGAGAAATACGCGTCGTCACTCTAAAAGCCATAAACAGCATAAAGTTAAGTATTATATGACGTCAGTTTTATACAGCTTATCAGTTTGGACACAATTCATGAGTCAAAACAAATAAGAGAGCCCTCTGACAAATTTTWAATGCACATTTAAGTCCAGGATTTTGTCCTTTTACCTTCCCTTGTTGACAGAAGTGCTGTGACGCAGCTGAGTGATGCCTATTTTTAACCTTCCACCAACCATTACGCAACTTCAAAAGTCCATCGTGAGTCAGTTTTTCTCACACTGACACCAATCAGCACCATTCACACACTCCACAGAGGCGAAAAAGCTTTTGGCACATGTCTGTGACCAGTGTTTCATGCAGCTAACACTGACATGTCAAACTGAGGGGGAGACGAAACAAACAAACACAACTCCTGCTGCCATGAACTCGTTATCCTGGACTGTTCAAGGCACTTATGGCAATAAATAAATAAATAAATAAATAAATAAATAAATAAATAAATGTATTAGAAATGGGGGTATGATAAACTCAACACAGATGTGAATCTTCATTTGAATA